TCTCCCACTCTGCCAGTCCATCCGTTTGTCCTTGCCTGACACTTTTTAAATCATATGATCATCTTCAACTAATTTTTAACAGAGGAATAAAAACCAGTAAACCTTTCAAGTTCTCTAAGGATTAGCAGCTAGGTATTTGGGGAACATAAGAGCATCTGATAAACCAAATTGTATCTTATAGGCATTTAAGAATATTGAATAGCTTTCTGTTTGCAAGAAAACCAACTGGGAAAAAATTAACTTGGAAAAAACTGAAAAAAATAACAGCATACTTCAGAGCAGACTGGCAAAAGACCTGACCTAGCCTGCCTTCTTCCACAGTTAGTAGCTAGAAAGATATTTCCCATCCTGGTGGACCAGAGTGATGAAGAATTAGACTCTGCAGATTTCAGCTAGAAGGGGGGTAACCCTGTTACTTTTGATGAATGTTTGGTTTTGACAACCCCAATATCTGCTCAGTCAGAGTGGTACAGTTCAGCACAATTCAATCACTAAAGTGCTGTTCGTGGTGCCCAAGTTGTCTGCTACTACTGGTTTATTAGTCATTCCTGCTAACTACATCACTACTGGCTGTTGCTTATAGCAACAACCATAGTGCCATGCAGCTGTTTAGTGGAGAGTCTGATAGAAGGTATCAGCCTCACATGATCCGCATTTAAAATATGGAATCTTTTTCTGTCCTTCAACTAACAAGGATAAAGATAGAAAGAAAAAGAAAGGATAAAGACCTTTCCATGGCCACTCACAACAAAATTCTACCAGTTCAAGAAATTCACATCTTTTTCTCTCTGCAGGGACCTCAAGGATCATCAAGCTCCAACCCCCCTGCTGCAGGCAGGGCTGCCAACCTACATATCTAGTACTAAACCAGGTTGCTCAGAGCCCCATCCAACTTGGCCTTTAACATCTCCAGTGAACACCTCCAAGTCATTACCCATCACCAAAATGAGCCTCCCTCACTGCAGATTTTTTCCTATGGCTTTGAACGGTGTCCTGCTTTTGGCTAGGATGGAGTTAATTTTCTTACTAGTTTCTGGCATGGTTATGCTTTTTGGATTTAGATTGAGAATAATGTTGATAACACAACAATGCTTTGTTTGTTGCTGAGCAGTGCATACGCTAAGGATACAAATCTCCAAGAGAATCATAGGCTCATACACTCATATCCATCAGGACCCCCAAGTTCTCTGCAGGGCTGCTCTCACCGAGTTCTTCTCCCATCTTGCACTCATATCTGAGATTGCCTTAACCTAAGTCCAACACCTTGCATTTGACCTTGTTAAACCTCATTAGACTCTCCTGTACCCCCTTTTTGAGCATGCCTAGGTCCCTCTGGATGGCATTCTTTCCTTCTATCATGTCAACTGCACCACTCTGCTTGGTGTCATCAGCAAAGTTGTTGAGGGTCCCAATGTGTATGTCATTGATAAGAATGCTGGGGGAATCTAAGAGAATCCAGCAGAACCTAAGGTACTTTGTACCCACACGCAAATGATGAGCAACACTTGGCCTAGTCTTCCCTGTCCCTCCATAATGCTGCTTTTAAACTACAGAAAAGAATGACAGCCAAAAGTGCTGAGAGAAGGGATAATGCCAGTAGTTGTGTTATTAAGCATAGTTATATCTACATGTTTTTAACAAGCTTACAGGGCCTCTTGTACTGGATTTGAAAGAAAGTGCAATAAGTACGGGAAATTTTTAAAATCTCAAATTTATTTTTATTTTGAAATGCATTTGATCAAAATTACAGAATTTATCAGGGACATCTTCTACTGAAATCTGTCAACTACTAGACAGTGCCAGTAACGAGTGGTTATGCAAACTGAATTCTCTTTCATCAGTCATCACAGCTTCCTTTCACAGAGGACCTGACCATCCTGACTCTTTTGCGTATCTACAAATAGCATACTAAAGAGGAATTTTTATATTAGCTGAAGTTGAATTGCTTTTGGATTTTTATCATTTACACATTCACCTTTATCTACAACTACATTTGTTTGAATAGGACATATTGATTTGTCTCCCTGATCAGAGAAAAAAAAATGAACAGACATCGTTTAACTACCCAGTATCTACCCTCCCTTTATTTGAGGAGGAGGTGAACACCCTGCAAGGACAGAAGAGAGATGGCCAAGGGTCAATCCATTTTTCAGTAGTAAGCATTTTGAAAAGTAATATAAGATACTAAGTAGACTGTAAGAGCAGCTTGCATTCTTCTATCAGTGACATATACTTCTATTTTATTTTCTCAAAGAATCCAAAATAACCAGGCTTTGGAGGAGACACTTCAAGTTTTCAGATGAAACTGGCTTTTGTTGTTTTTTTTTTTCCCTTTTATTTCTTTGTGGGAGAAGCAAATGATGCAAATAGATAAAAATCTATAAATGAAAAATAAACTTCTGAGACCTTGCATAAGAACATCATCCACACACAAATAGATGACTATACTTAGTTTCAAAGTTCTTTTCTCTAAATACTTCTAATCGGTTGGAGTGAACATCCTGTCTGTGAGCAAATTCTTCTTTTTTTCTTTTTTCTTTTTTTTTTCCATTTAGATTAAGCAAAAATATCCTACATCAGAATACATCAGAACAGCATCAGTTACAGATACATCCACACTCCTAAGTAACTGTAGAAATTACTGGAGAGAAACTGCAAACAACAACAACAAAAGCTCTCTGTTTAAAGGCTTAAATTCCCCTATGATGAGAAAACGCAACATTTGTATATGTTTGCTTTGATTATTAGAAAGCTAAAGAGGAGATCTCTCTCCTTCTTCCCTCACTCTGATCCTAAAACAATGCCAGAGCCTCAGGCACGATGTAAGGACAATGCAGTCCTTTCTGTAGTGTACAAGGTTCATAAGCACTGAAGTCCCTAAGGAATGCAGATGCCACTCTACATACACTTAAAAAGAGAAATCTTTAATTCAGGCAGAGCCTGGTCCAGACAGCTTCCTGCAAGGCTGTATTAGCATTTATGCAACTCCAGTGCTGAGAAAGAAGACACTGGGATTAATTTTCTAAGACATGGCACAGCATTGCCCTAGTGGTGCTGCAGCTGGGCATGAGTCCCTGCTGACAGCCTCCAGCTTAACACCAGCTGCTCCTACCAGTTCCCTCATTTTGGAAATGCTGCAGAGTCATGTGCCTGGTGTCATTTCAGAAGAAGATAGAGTTTTGGACTCAGAACACAACCCCAAATAAAAATAAGGTATTTTTTTTAACTCCAGATCACACATCATACATGCAGCTGGGATTACCCTAGGTTGCAAGTCTCAGTGAACTGTGGAGAACACGCCAGAGTGTAGACAAGGTGTACAGAACAAAAATTCCTTGATGTCCTGTGGTAGAAGGCACTTTCTGTGCTGGTCTCCTGCTGCAGGTGACGCAGGACAGCACTGTGATACTCACCTGCAAAATGAGTTAGGCACTTCTGACTGACCCAGATCTCCTGTGCCACTGAAAATTGCTATTCTTTTTATCTTGGTCTGCTAAGTATTAATTGGAAGATTCTCCCACATCATGAGCTGGGAAACATCTGCCTGGAGCTCCCAGTGCACTTATGTCAGGCAAAAAAGAAAGACATGGGCTTCCTGCAGGACCATCATCTTTATCATCTAACTTGACAAGCCAGCTGAGGCCAGGCAGACTGGCCTTAGGGAGGGGACATAGGACAACAGGAAAGATCATTTTTATTCTTCACACTGAGCTTGTAGTTAATTAGAATTTGATTAGTTGGACATTTGTCTGCCTGGCAACCCTAATTCCTTTGGCTTTTTTCTGATCTTTTCTTTCAGCTCTATCTCTTTATGCAATAGAATGTTATATATACAGCCTTTTCTCACAGCATTTCTGTATTCTTTCTGGTTATGAACTGCAATAGCCTAGAAGGTACAGCCAGGCACACAGCCCAAGAACATGGTTCCGATAAGACAAGGTGAGTTCTACTAACCCCATGAGATGAAGCCTCTTCAGAAGAAGAACGAGCCCACAGTAACTGCAGTTATATAGACCTAGTTCGCATGTAAGAAGAAAAGGTTTTGTGTATATGTGTTTCCTTGGCCCTGCAGAAAAAGAAGAGGCCAGGCATATTTCTTTCCATTCTGCAGATCTGGAGTTTGAGGAAAGAAAGGCTGCATTGTTCTTCAGCCAGGTCATGGAGATTCCTTAAAATCAGTCTTTGGGCCTGGCCAGTCCACTAAAAAAGTGAGTAGATGATTTTCATGTTTATTGCTCAATGTTAAATATGAATCTGAATATAACCATAAAGATTCTGTAAATAAATATAAATTCTGAGAATTTACACAGTCATAGTTTGACAACCTTTTGAAATTAAAATCTTATTGTTTTAACTACTGTTGAAGAAAGAGCTTGAAATATGCACCAGATTCCATTAAAAATTGAACTTCTGACTGCAAGCAGATGTTGCAAGGTGAAGAATAACTGAGGATAGAAGTAGAAGATGACCATAGGGATATCCTTCCAAACTCTCACATAACAGGCAGTAAAGGACAGTTGCCATCTACTCTCTTTCGGCCCAAGGCCATTCAGAGATCAGAATCATTGGCCATTCTGTAGGCTGGGACACCAACTTTGTCTCTCCTTCATGGAGCAGTGGGCTCACAAATTTTGGTAACCACCAGTTTGAATTTCTTCTATGTTGAATGCTTCTCAATCACTGGACTGTACAGGGGGAAAAAAAATCTAGATAGAATATAAGGTTTGGAAGAGAGCAAGTGACTCCACAAAGCATAGGTGACAGCTAAATAGCCAACCGGAGATGAGAAGATGAAGACCAGAAATTAAAAAACACAAGCCTTTTCTTTTTCTTATAGCTGGTTAGCTTCGTCTCAATGAAGAAATAGGGACATTTTTCTGAAGCAAGATGTATTGCAGGGTCCTCTCAGGATTCCCATCTAGTAGTCTGAGGTGATGAACCTGCCTTAAACTCAGGAAAGGACTGTGAATTTTTAGGCATGTTAAAGCTCATGCACTGACCTGCACATTGCATTTCTGGCAGCATGAGTAAAGCTAAAGTGCATTGTCCTCATACAATCTGCTACAGAGGCAACTCCAGACTTTGACCCTGTTATATAAACAGAAGTTAAAGGCACGTATTGCTAAAGGCACATATTACTACCAGGCACAAGGAAATTTTCTAATGATACATTTCATCATTCATATTACAATCCTGTGCAGAGGGTTATAGTACACAACATAATACACATTACAGGATCATATATGATCCATATGGACTTCCATCTCCATAGACTGCCCTGCTTCAAGATATTCCTGGACTAGATTATTCTTCTATCAAAAGTAGAGATATTGTGTCTAATTATTTCCTGCTGTCCTCTCTGTGTCTTATTATTCCATTAAACAAACAGACAGTGTTTGGTATATGAGTAAGTAATGTAGTGTAACAGAAAACATGCTAGAAAGGAAACGATTAGTAATCACTGCTTTTTGCCCAAGACAGCTAAAATGACCTATTTCCTCAGCTCATCAGCTGAGCAAACTACTGACTTCAAGATGTAAGAAACTGTTCTTGTTCTTAGGTTCCAAATACAATTTTGTTTCTGTAATGAATCCGAGGGTTTATGTTTTATGACCGTAAATATGATCTGGACTGGAAAAGAAGCACACAAGAACCACATTCATTCCATAAACAGAAGAGATGAATGAGAAGACAGACAGACAAACCTAAAAAATAGCCCAACTATTTATTAAAAATGTTTAATACTTTTAGTATCTAGAACTCAGAAAGAATCAGTTTTGTGAACATTTTCCCAGGACACCTCAGTACAGGTTATGAGCTAAATGGACACCGTTATTAAACTATTTTATTTCTTTAGGCAGTAGGAAGATAAAAAGTTAAGCAGAGCTCTCAAGTGACCTAATCAGATAAAAACTAATAGCAGATTTAAGGGATCTGATCCACTATCTACTGATGCGAAGAAGTATCAACTACCTTATGAACACAAAATAAATTCCCAAATGGACCTACTTCAGTCACACTCCATTAAAGTGCTCAGGTGTCTCAGAATTTCCAGCCCTGAGCGTAATTTTGTGACAAAATAACTAATCACTATGGATGCTTTATAATTAGTACTGTGAGGCACGTGTGCAATGCTGAAATGTTTTGATTTGGGAAGTTTTGATTTTGTGGTGGTTTGTTTTTGCTGGACATGAGAAGAGGCAGTTCTCAAACATCAGCTCACCTGAAAACTCCAGATGGCGAGTTAAAATCATGCATTTACAAGCAGTTTGGAGGCTTCTCTGCCACTTCTTTTCTGATTTAGGGAAAGCACTAAAGGTATCTTTCCCCTAAAAAAAATCTCTCTGAACCAAAATAAAACAGTAACTTTAACTAGAAAATATGTAAAAGTAGTGAGTTCTGAACAATGTTATAATGCAGTTTCAGTTTTAAGTTTTTCTCAGACCTATGACAATGAGGAATACGACCTCACAGTAAAACCTAGTCCTATCAGAAATAGGAATTGTATTCCTGACATTCCTGATAGGAATACATTACTGGCAATACAGTCATCTAAAAACAAATGCAATCTCAGGAGAGAGAATCAAATATTGATTTAATGCTTTGATACATCTAATCTTGTCTTCAAAAGCCATGAGACTTCCTTCAAAGAAAGGGCCCTACTATCCGGGTCATCTGTAGCCTGGCACATAAGCATAAACACAGGCTGTGTCTAACCTGGCAGGCAGTTCAGTTCAGCTGACATGAGCAAGTGAAGAAAGGCAGCTAGCACTAGAAACCTTACCTCCACCTTGGAGTTTCTCCTTCAGCCTAACTTCACTCAAGTTGGTTGGACTCAATGTTTCCCATCATGCCTTTGGTTCAAAGTGGTCCTATGGACCAGCCACTGATTCAAAGCCTTATGGTCTCCCGCAAGAACTGGAGGTGGTTAGATAGTATCTACTTAGAGCAGAGGTTAGATGGTACCTACCTAGAGCAGAGCTTACAGTTTACTTTCTTTGGAAAACAGACGAGTTTGTACTTTCCCCCACAACCTTGAAAAATGATCACAAAACATTCACATGGGTGCAGTTACAGGTAACACTGGTGCACTGAGCATGATTTATGCTTTAATGATTTTATGCTTCTCTTGTTTATGCTTCAGGAACAGGCCATACAGGCCATACACTCACCAGAGGACAAAGAAGGAGACCTTCTTATCGAATGTAATGGTGCTGTTAGTACAAGAACACATACACAATCTCTCAGTTTATTGTCCTCTCCTGCTTCACTGCTAAACAGCCTCATTCCTATGATACCATGCCTGTGGCATGTTAATTGATCCACAGGCGTGTTTGCATCCTCACAAGGATCATAAGCATTTTGAGTTGAATCCTGTGTGCCACAAGGAAGGCCGTGCCCTGTGCCGGCATGAAGGCTATGAGGTGAGACAGCTCCAACCATGGGAGGGACAAAACCTCTAGCAGCAGGCTGGCTTTGCCATGTCAGCTGTCACTCTACCCCATGGCCTCACATCTGCCTGCTCAGACCTTCTGAGCTCCCGTTGACTCTCCAAAACACATGGAAAGGATCTTTCTAATGTGAATGTTTCATATAAGCTTTTGGCTAGGTCATCTGCCCACCACTCCTCTGCCGTGCTTTGCTCCTCTGAGGATCAGACACAGACATCAGTCATTGCATGACCTCGGCCTTCCTGAGCTCTTTGCCAGCCCCTCTTTTTGAACATTGTCTTCTTGAGATGTGAAAGGTGACATAATTGAGCTAAATGCCACCGGAAAACTCAATTGTAATGAGACCGCAAATCCCTCTGTGAGTTTCAAAATGCTGAGAAACTTCCGTAAAATTCTTAGCAGGGCTTTGTGTCTTTCCTCCTATCCGCTGAACTGAAAGAGCCTCTCAGTTTTTCAGTGCTGTGGGTCAGAAAGCCATGTGTGCTCTCTGTCTACAAGGACCAGGGCTGGGCCTCAAACACATTCCTTTTGTCCAGAACTCAGGCAGAGACTTTGAAAAAAACAGAGTATACTGGCATCCATTCTCCCTTTATACAAATAAGGGAGATAATGCACTTTATATCAAATGAAAAGCCATGGACTAGATTTCTCCTTGGTTGAGGACTAGCTACAGAACCCACTCAGCTTTTCTCTTGCTGCATGAGTACCACAGAGTAAAAGGATCTGAGGATGTTAGCTAACAGCCAGGTGAACATCAGCCAGCAGTGTGTGCAGGTGGCAAAGAATTACTTGATACTCAAGTACTGTGTTCAGTTTTGGGCCCCTCACTACAAGAAAGACATCAAGGCCCTGGGGCACAGCCAGTGAAGAGCAATGAAACCAGTGGATGATCTGAAGCACAATTCTTAACGGGAGCAGATGAAGGAGCTGGGATTGTTGAGTCTAGAGGAGAATCAGGAGAATCAGGTTATTGTTCTCTACAAGTCACTGAAAGGTTGTGGTGAGGTAGGGGTTGGCCTCTTCTCCCACGTAACAGCAGTAGAATGAGAGGAAATGGCTTCAAGTTGCACCAGGGTTGGTTCAGGTTGGGTATTAGAAAAAAATTATTCTCAGGAGTGACAAATTGCTGGAATAGGCTACTCAGGGAGGTGTTCAAGAAATGCAGAGATGTGGCACAGGTGGACGTGGTTGAGCAGGCATGGTGGTGGCAGGTTAATGGTTGGACTAGATGGTCTTAGAGGTCTTTTCCAACCTTAATGATTCTGATTCCATCCCTGCACAGGGCATGAAGCAGCCAGCAGCCCTTCACCCCCACAGTTCTGTTTGCACCCAGTTGCATTAGGAAGGCTGGCATCAAACACACAAGGCATCATGAGACTGCAGCAGGCCCTGCAGGGAGCTGGGGCTGCCCGGCACTCGCAGCTAGGAAGCTAAGGAAACGCCGAGCGAAGTCAGGCTCCCACACAGTACTGCGGTGCTCTCGCTGGGGCCTTCTGCTTGCGGGAACTGAAAGACAACGGAAACCGGCCCCGCACCCGACCCAAGGCGCGCCAGCTGCCACGCCGACGCCCACCGCCTCAAGGTGGCCCCGGGCGGCTTAGAGCGGGCACAGCGCCCGCGGGTCCTATCCGCGCCCTGCCGGCTGACAGGTGCCGGGGCCAGAAGCCCCGGCTGAGGCAGCCCGTCCGGCCGGGGGTACCGCGCCGGCGCTCCGGCGTCAGGAGGAGCCGCTCGGTGCCGCTCTTTCTCCCTCCGCCGCCGCCAGGCAGACCGTGTGCGGTGCGTGTGTCAAACCCACGTGTTTCGGGCGCCCGGCGCTGAGAGCGGCGCCGAGCGGCCGGGCCCCAACGCACGTCCGCCCGCCTCGCCCCGCCGCCTCGGCCCGGGCCCCCGGAGGCGTTCGGCCCCGCACCGCGGCCCCGCGGCCTGCGCCGGCCCCGCGGCGACGGCGGCGGCGGCGGTGGGGAGGGGAGGGCAGGGCGGTGTTTTCCTCCGCGGCGCCGCGGCCGTCGCCCTGCCGCCGGCGAGCGTCAGGCGGGGCGAGGGGGGGCCCGCTCCGCGCCCTTCCCCTTGCCCCCGCGCCCCGAGGATGGCAGCGCTGCCCGCAGAAGAGGCTGGCGGCCGCGTCCCTCCTCTTTTTTTTTCCGGCGGCGGCAGCGGCGGCGGCGGCGGATCATTGTTGTGTGGGAGGAGGGCAGCGGTGATGGACTTGATCTCCCGGGTCTCCTGCTGAGGCGGCAGCACAGCGCCCGCCGCCAGCCAGCACCCGGCAGGGCCGCGCCGCGCCGAGCAGCGAGCTACGTCCCCGGCGGCCGGGGGTCCGCGTCCGCCTCGCCGCTCCCGTCCTCCCGCACGCGGACACGCAGCGCCCTCCTCCTCCTCTGCCCTTTCATCCTTCGTCCCGGCGTCCTCCCTCGCGGTCTCCCGCGGCGGCAGATGTGCTTGGGGCCACCGCGCAGCTGGGACTATGGTGAAATTTCCAGCGCTCACTAACTACTGGCCCCTCATCCGCTTCCTGGTCCCTCTGGGCATCACCAACATCGCCATCGACTTCGGGGAGCAGGTAAGGCGCCGCCGCCCGCTCTCCCCCAGGGCCGCAGCGGGCAGGGACGCGACGCAAAGCGCAGCCGGGCCGGGCCCCGCCGTCTTCTGCCGCCAGCCCGGGAGCACCGGGGCTGCCCCGACCTCAGGCTGACGGGGAAGGACTTTTTAATTCCCCCGTGCATTTCGGGATTATATAACGTGACATTACATAATGCGTTCGCGGGGCTCTGCGCTTCTTTCCCCCGTCACCGCCCGGCGCTGCCGCAGCGGCGCGGTCCCCCCGCGGGGCCGTCCCGAAGGGAGGGCGTGCGGCGGCCGGCCCGGGGGTGGCCGCGGGGCTGCGGGCCGGTGATACCGTGCTGCTGGCCGCGGCCCTGCTTAGAGACAGCTAGCGGGTACGTGCACCTCAGCCCTGCTCAGATACCCGAGTGCTGTGGGAAATCCCTGGATGTCCTGATCCCGGCTTACAACCTTTCGTACTTGTCTTCTGCTCTTTTGCTCTTCATTAAGGATGCTCATCTGTCATAGCATCATGCTGCAGAGAGCTCTGTGGTCTCTCCGTTTGGTGTTTATGACAGGTGAGGCCCCAGCCGTGTGTCCGGCTGTGATACAGGGGCTCACACCACCTTTTAACTAGAACGCTGTAAGCTCATGATGTTAAACTGGGCAACCACAATAAGTATTGCATTCTGTACAGCTTTTCGCCTTGCTCCAGATAACTCAGTTTTCCAGATCACTCAGGAGCTCTTGGTTTGTCACTGGAGTAGGCACCTGCTCCCATACTCCATAAGCAAAGATACCAGAAAACTAATGTGTACTTTCACCTGTTTATGAAGAGGAAAGCCAAAGGACACGTATTACAGTAGGAAAAAACAGTTATCATGTGTTTATCATGCTTATCTTAATCTCATTTTGCTTCCTAGTCCTTTAAATCTAAATAAGCTGTGATGTGAAAAAATTGCAGTTCCATCCTTGTCTAACAACTGAGTACCTTCCTACTGAATCAGTCTTTCGCAAATCATGCTTAGGGAAAAAAAGAAAAGGTAGAAGCAGCAAGGGAAATGGTGACTTAAATGCTAATAATTATGCCACATAAATACATACAACAGAAGTTAAATTGAAAATAGTTCGTTCAGCAATGTGACAGGTGCATGTGTTCAGTTAATTCATACAAGGTCAGCTTCATTCAAAACCCACATCAATCTGTTAGGAACATTTTATCTTCGGTATGCTCTGAACTAGAATATGAAAAAATAGCAAACAAAAGACCTCAATTGTATAAGTGAGGGCTCTTCTGTGTGATCTGGAATGAGTTACACAGCAGGGATGTTAATATGCGGATGATACTTATCTAGCTTATCTATCTTTTACAACAGCATGCAGAAACATCTCAGAAAGTGGATTTTGTTTGATAGCCATGGCATAGGTTGAGACTGGCCTTCTGGGGGTGTTAGGGTACCTATTTTTGAGTGACTGGATAGGTGTTTAATTAAAGAGGGAAAAATCTAGCAAGTAGCAAGAATGCTGAAGAAAACCTGTGATCAGTAGTGGGATCTGTAAAGAGGCATTTTGTACCGGCCTAGTGAGAGCTTACCTACGTGGAAATCAGGAAACTGAGGCAGGGACCAAGCCACTCTAGGTCAGAAGAAATCCTCTTATTGTCAAAAGGACAGTAATTGCATTGAATTCCATTGAAGTTTTACTTGTATTACATGCATTATTTTTAACACCCATAGGATATTAGGACTTGTGTTGCTGAAAATACATTGGCTTTCTGAGCCAGTCACCTTTCTGCTCTCCAAAACTGTAATAATCTTAATGAAAGGCCTGAAAGGAAGCCACATGAATGGATGTGCCAACTGATAGCTCTGAAAGGGCTCCGGTATGTCCCTCAGTGAATGTATGCTTTGGATAAAAAAGATTTCTAGGAATGATAACGGCAGTCAAATTATCACGAAGTAAAGTGAACCCCTCTGGACAGTACTGTAAAAGAAACAGGAGAACTAGAGATCAGAAGTAAGAGATGACTGCAAAAAATGAGGCAGAGAATGTACATTGCGTGAGCAGGGAGGATAGGTGTTTAAAAATACCTTAAGTCAGAAACTTTTTTGGTATGTTGTGTTCATACATTGCTTTGTCAAGCAGGAAGGGTATTTGGAAGAAGTATTCAAATTACAGCCTTTGTAACAAAACCTAACAATATTAGCCTGGGTCTGAAGAGTGCAAAACACAGTCAGTCTTTTATTACTGGAAGGACTTTTCTAGGTGTAGATTAGTTTTGTTCAACAGCCAACATCAGTAGGAAGCTGCCAGATAGTTGTTAATGTTGCTGTCTCTGGATTTCTTGCAACTTTAAGGTATACGGAGTACTTGCAGAATGTATTTTGTGGCTGCCATCCTTGTCCTGTACCATATGTTTTCTTTGACAATTTTGTTTAGTTGGTAGGAAGTAAAAAGCGCTGGAGCAATGCTCATGAAAGCTGGCAGGCTCATCTCCTGCAGTTTGCTCAGCACCACTGTAGCCAGAGAGGAGTCTCCTGGTGACCCTGGAACCCTCGTCCAGCAGCACTTCATGCCAAGGCTGTATTACAGAGCTATTCCAGTTTGGTCATCTGACCTCGTCTGTTCACCTCGTGAAACCTTCTTAGACAAATACCTGGTATCTTTTTGTACTAAAAAAAGTAATCCTAATGTATGACAGGGTAGATTGCCAGCAGATTGGTGAAGTAAACCATTTCTGATCCATTTCCATTACCTTCTGCAACCCATTTCTCTTACAATTTATTCACATATCTTTTAGGAAATTTTCTTCTGAGAGAAAGGCCTTCAGGAAAATAACCGTTTTCCCTTTTCTGCAGAAACAGTGTGTTTGTGCTTATGCATGCATGTGCAGGTATGTGTTTATTTACTTATCCTTATGTACACCCACAAATGCACAGGACAGAGCATTTATCCAAAGAGCTTGGCACCAGCAGAAGAGAGATTAGTGCCTTCGTTCTGCCGGCAAGAGCGTTTCACGCTTAGAACCTTATCCCCGGATTCACTATTACCGGGTGCTTTAGATCAGGATTTGCACTACAATTCCTGACTTCTATGGAAAATGTTGTAAAGTGTACTTGGAAGGAAATAGATCAACTGCTCCCATGCGGGGAAGTAGAGCACAGCCTCAAACAACTCACCCAGCAAATAGCACTGCTGTAACCCTGTGCATTCAGAAATCTGTTGCTTTCCTCGTCGGTTTTCTATGTAACACACTTTCAGAGCTGCTCATGTATACCATGATGGGCTAATTTGTAGTTTATGTATTGTATTAGAACTATTACCAAGGGGTTGAGGTGAGGTGTAGTTTATTTAAATGGCTTCCTCAGAAGTGCACTGTTAGCCTTCAGCAGGATGAAATACAGTTTGCAAGTACAGCTGGTGACTGTCTGCTGCTCATGGGAGGGATCAGGCAGATGGCAATATTTTGCAGTATCTGGACCCTCAGTGACCTATCTGTAGTGGTCCCTTATTTTTTCTAGTTATCTACTGGAACTGGGGTGCTTTGTCCTTTTACACTACAATGCAGCTGGGCTCTGAATCTTTAGTTTCAACTGATGTTGGCTAGGTAATTTTATTTTCAGACACTACTATTAGGCATGCAGACATAGTGTTCAGTGGCATGCAGCTACTTGGAAACTGAACTCAGGCAAGCAGAGTCCAACTGCCAATTTCTCCTGAAATCACAGGAGAGTTTGTGTCCTGCAGGGAACTGAGCACAGTTCAGTAGCTGGGATCAGGCAGGTGAACTATAAAGGAAGTGATAGAGATTTTGGATTCTAATATATATTTATTTTTTCCTAATAATTCTTCAAAAAACAAACCTTTTTTTCTTGTATTTAAATGCATTTCTCTTTGTTTTTCCTCAAAAAAAAAAAAAAAAAAAAAAAAAAAAAAGTTGCCAGAAAAGCTGAACAAGTCATGAATAATGTATCAAAAAGAATTAGTGAGTTTATCTTCTGTCCATGCCATTTGCAAACTGGTAGGGGGTTAAACATTTTGATTAATACTTTATGAA